ACTTCCACACACTCCCCTCCTCCCATCCCATCAGTCATCACCAGATCTTCAATAAAGTAAGCGTCATGTATTCCATTCTTAGTAGAGTAGTAATTGTGCACGTCTTCTTCAGTTTGTGTGTATTAAAATTAATATTTCATGTGGTAAATTTTTTTTTTTTTCATACTTTGGGGTGTCAGGAACAGATTAATTTGATTTCCATTATTTCTTATGGGGAAAATTAATTTGGCTAACGATAATTTCGGCTTATGATGAGCTCTCAGGAACGGCTTAATATCGTCAGGCGGGGCTCCACTGTATACTGCTAAGGGACGGATAATGGCTGGGAAATGAACTCCGTTATTTATGGTCCGATTTCTTTCAATTTTGGTGTGCGTTAAGAAGCATCTTTCCATCATACATTGCCTAAGTTTCAATAAGATAGTCCAACAAACAAATGAGATCCAATTCCCTAGATCAAGAGCAAGAGCCCCTCACCAGCGTCAAGGAACCTTGAGGCCTGCTCGCATCTGGAAATTTCGCTCACGTCTGGAAGCAAAAATTTGACCTAGCGACTACTCGTACAATGGACCCCCGCCTTACAATATTAATCAGTTCCTGAGAGCTCATCGTAAGCCGAAATTATCGTTAGCCAAATTAATTTTCCCCATAAGAAATAATGGAAATCAAATTAATCCGTGCAGGACACCCCAAATTGTGAATTTTTTTTTTTTATACCACATGAAATATTAATTTTAATACAGTGGACCCCCGCATAATGATCACCTCCGAATGCGACCAATTATGTAAGTGTATTTATGTAAGTGCATTTGTACGTGTATGTTTGGGGGTCTGAAATGGACTAATCTACTTCACAATATTCCTTATGGGAACAAATTCGGTCAGTACTGGCACCTGAACATACTTCTGGAGTGAAAAAATATCGTTAACCGGGGGTCCACTGTACACACAAACTGAAGAATACATGCACAATTACTACTCTACTAAGAAAAGAATACATGACACTTACCTTGATTGAAGATCTGGTGGTGATTGATGGGATGGGAGAAGGGGAGAGTGTGGAAGTTATTGTTTAGAAGGGGAATCCCCTTCCATTAGGACTTGAGGTAGCAAGTCCTTTTCTGGGGTTTATTTCCCTTCTTTTAATGCCACTAGGACCAGCTTGAGAGTCACTGGACCTCTGTCGCACAACAAATCTGTCCATAGAGGTCTGTACCTCCCGTTCCTTTAAGATTTGCCTAAAATGGGCCACAACATTGTCATTGTAATAGTCACCAGCACGGCTTGCAGTAGCTGTGTCAGGGTGATTTTCATCCATAAAAGTTTGCAGTTCAACCCACTTTGCACACATTTCCTTAATCTTTGAAGTAGCACAATGGATTCCACAACTGGCACAGGCTTCTCAGGGTTAGCCCCAAACCCTTCAAAATCTTTCTTAATTTCCATTCTAATTCTCACCCTTTTTACCACAGGGTTGGCACTAGAAGCTTTCTTGGGGTCCAAGGTGATTTATTTTGCAGTTACAAGCACAAAAAACACTATGATAAGGTGAAATGTACCGAATGTATGTATGGATGCGACCGCACTGGCTGGCTTGTAAACACTGGCACCCACGGGACAGCTGAGGCCACACGTGGGACGCGTCCCGGACGAATCACGTAAGGCGAGGCAAAATTTTTGCGTTCAAATGCTTCATATGGCGGATTTAACGTAATGCGATGCGTTCGTAAGGTGGGGGTCCACTGTATCTGGAAAAACTCGCATGTGGATGCACTCCTAAGTAGAGATTCCACTGTATTAGGTAAAAGGACACATATGCAATTAATGTGACATTTTAATATGACATTTTGCTTTCTAGAAGCTTTGTCAATACAAGAACACAGAAGGTATATACATGTATAGGTACCACACAAGGTACTGCAGTAGGTCTACTGGTCTACTGCAGTGGAGGCAATTCTTGGTTGCTATGTGATAGCAGGGTTTATTATTTTCAGTTGAATTCTTGCTAATACCTCAAAAATGAGGAAGCTACGTTTTTATTGTTTAATGGTGTCGAAAATGGCAGTTAAAGATGATTCAAGGCAGAAAATAGAACTGATCAACTCATGTTTACACATTCCCGTGCAGAGGTATACATTGGTGAAACAGCATGTATCCTATAAACACATTTTGGTGAACCCATCAATACATGCAGAAATGACAACTTGAACATTGCATGTGTACAATACAGGAACTTCTCCAACCATTTAATTAATGAGACTCAGTGATGCCCACCTAGTGATCAAAGAAGCAAATTTTCACAGATGTAAATGTCTTGAACCAAATTTTATTTGCCATTTTTGGTATCTTTGAACAAAATAAAGGTAGCTTCTTCATTTCTGAGGTATAAGCAAGAATTCTGCTGAAAGGAATACGTACACCATGCCATCACATAACGACGACTCATGTTGCTACTGCTGCCACTGCTGCTGTTGCCACTGCCACCACTGCTGTTGATGCCACTGCCACCCATGCCCCACTATTACTGCTGTCTACAACATAGGCCAGTAGGCCTACTGAGTTGTGCTCTTTCACATATGGTACCTGACCATACCACGGGCGGGGATAGAACCCGCGATCAGAGAATCTCAAAACTCCAGACCATCGCGTTAGCCACCGGTTCAGTGGCTGATGCAATGGTCTGGAGTTTTGAGACTCTGATCACGGGTTCTATCCCTGCTCATGGTATGGCTTGTTTGCAATCATGTCATTATGATTTCGTGAGTCATATGTGTCCTTGTATTGTTCGTAACAACTTTACAAAGCTCCAGGAGAGCAAAACACTGCAACAATAAAATGTCATATTAATTGCACATGTGTTCTTTTACCTAATATATTGTTGGTAATTCTACTATTATTACTAGTTTTGTTGATTGGCAGTCCACAAATAGATTTGAGTATTCAACATCCTGATCTCTGTTGTATTACATTAACTGTCTGGCTGATCAGGAATTTTTTGAAAGAACTTAAAACTTCTTTCTCGAAGACATGGGCAGTTCTGTATGATCCATATAAATTTAATGCTTATTTCTAATGTAATAATTATGGATGAGACTACCAAATTTTTTGCCAATACCAGTACTCGGTTTTAGGCTGATGTTGATATCAAAATTAGCCGATACCCACAAGTACTGATACTGATGCCACCAAAATTGGTCAGTGCTCACTGGTATCATTACTTTGGCACACTCCTGTTAATAACAATAGTAATTGTTTAAGAATTTCCTGCTATCTATTTATAGTTTTGTTATTAATTCCTTTTGTATTTGAGCTATTTTTGCATATTTAGCATATTAATTGGGTATTTGCACTTCATGAATACTCTCTGCATATTTTCAGAGGTTGCAGTTTTTTTGCAGCCTTAATTTAGGTTTATACATCATATAATAATGCACAAAAACCCACATATAAGAGAGAGAAGCTTATGATGACGTTTTGGTCCAACTTGGACCATTTACAAAGTCACACTGCGTGACTGCAAATGGTCCTAGTCGGGCCGAAATGTCATTGTAAGCTTCTCTCTCCTATGTGCAGGTTATTTGTGTATTGTTCCAGCCACGGTATTGTCTCTGTTATTTATAATAACAGTAGTTTAATATTATAGAGTATAAATGCATGAAGTATTGTTAACATTGACTTAGCATCTCATGCTCAAAATTCTTTACACAGATAACCCACATATAGGAGAGAGAAACTTACGACGACATTTCAGTCTGACTTAACCCATTTGTTCTCAGAATTCTTATAATAATACTTCTCAACTTGTCCACAAGTGTGGAGTTCTTGGCAGAGTTCACAGAGTTATTATATACGTACTTATTTTTTTGTCCCATAAAGCCTGCGTTATAACAAAAGTTTGTGTAAAAATGCATCTTTGATACCTTTGAAGAATTTCGAGAGTATATCTACTCTCTGAGCCTGGCCCATGGCCAGGCTCATCTGGTGCTTGCCTGGTCAACCAGGCTGTTGCTGCTGGAGGCCCGCTGCCCCACGTATCCATCACAGCCTGGTTGATCTGGCACCTGGTGAAGATACTTGTCTTGACAAGAACATTGCTAGAGACTTATTTTATTTCAGAAATTTACAACAGTAATTGTCAAACTTATTATACTTCTCATTGTCACTTAGTTTGTGACATGACATATGAGTTTGTTATTTAAAGTTAGTGGGGATGTTAAAGAATATGTGTAAGAGAGAGAGAGTGGGAGTGAGAGTGAGAGTGAGTGAGAGTGAGTGAGAGTGAGTGAGAGTGAGTGAGAGTGAGTGAGAGTGAGTGAGAGTGAGTGAGAGTGAGTGAGAGTGAGTGAGAGTGATGAGAGTGAGTGAGAGTGAGTGAGAGTGAGTGAGAGTGAGTGAGAGTGAGTGAGAGTGAGTGTGAGTGAGTGTGAGTGAGAGTGAGTGAGAGTGAGTGAGAGTGAGTGAGAGTGAGTGAGAGTGAGTGAGAGTGAGTGAGAGTGAGTGAGAGTGAGTGAGAGTGAGTGAGAGTGAGTGAGAGTGAGTGAGAGTGAGTGAGAGTGAGAGTGAGAGTGAGTGAGAGTGAGTGAGAGTGAGTGAGAGTGAGAGTGAGTGAGTGAGAGTGAGTGAGTGAGAGTGAGTGAGTGAGAGTGAGAGTGAGTGAGATGAGAGTGAGTGAGTGAGAGTGAGTGAGAGAGAGTGAGTGAGAGTGAGTGAGTGAGAGTGAGAGAGTGAGAGTGAGAGAGTGAGAGAGTGAGAGAGTGAGAGAGTGAGAGAGTGAGAGAGTGAGAGAGTGAGAGAGTGAGAGAGTGAGAGAGAGTGAGAGAGAGTGAGAGTGTGAGAGTGAGAGAGAGTGAGAGTGTGAGAGTGTGAGAGTGTGAGTGAGTGAGCGAGCGAGAGGGAGAGCGAGAGGGTGACAGACAGACACAGACCGACCGTCCTTCCTTCCTTCCTTCCTTCCTTCAAACCATTCAGTATTACATAAGTTTCCCATCTCTTTGTTTCAGGCTCACAGTGATATCATGTGCCAACAGTGTTTTTGTCTTCTCGACACAGTAGATGCACTGGAGGTAGAAATTCATGATACAAAAGAGGAAATAGTTAACAAATATCAGGAGACTGTTGCAGTATATGGGGGAAGAGCTAGAAGAAGAAAACCTGCAGCTGCTAAGAAAACTGATTATGTGTTCCCTAAGGTGAGCAACAAGCCTTCTTAACCATATATGTACTGTATGTTTTGTAGTAACTGCTGATAACTGAATTTGAAGTGATCAAGGTCCTGGAACCTTGATCACTTCAAATTCAGAGGTATGACAGCAGACAGACTACATAGAAGGGCTGGAGAGAATAGTAATAGGTGTAGTACACCAGTTTGCTTCAAAAATAGGTTGGACAAATATGAGTGGGAAGGACTGGCTTGAGGAGAGGAGGACATGCTAAGCATGAGCCAGTAGGTTTACTGCATTGCTCCTCTGTTTTTATGTTTTGGTGTATTACTCTGTCATGTGGCAATTGCAGAAGCACAGTTTAAGATTGAATAGCACAAGGTGATAGAAAAGTTATAAATGCTAACTAACTTTTTGAGTGATGATATTGGAGATAGTGATGAAGGATGCTTAACCCTTTCAGGGTCGAGAGGCCCTCTCTTAAACTTGTTCTCAGGGTCGAAAATTATTCGGAAAAAAAAAATTTTTTTATGAAAAGATAGATATTTTTTTCCCAGTAATAATGACACCAAAAGTATGAAATTTGATGGAAAACTTATGGAATTATGCTCTCGCGAAGTTAGTGGTCTCGACGATGTTTACACATCTGCGATTTCGCCGACTTTGAGCTGTATTTTCGGCCAATTCCAGTGCATTAGTCAACAAAAATCATAACTATTTCGCTAGAACTCCATTTTTTCTATCGAATGAGTACAAGAAGCCACCCATTTACCGATTTTAACTATCCAATACAGTGGTCAGAAATTAGCAATTTTGCCAATTTCATACAAATTTCAAAAGATGCCAATTTCCAAATAGGGTCCAGAATAAACAAGACAGACATTCCTGGCACTAAAATAACATTTCCTCTGTTCACTAGTCACGTCCCCACGCCCCTCTTACATTCCTTTTGCTTTCCACTTTGAATTTTTTTCTCACAAAAAATAGAAGATTTACTGTTATGCAGACTATTGCATTAATGTAGAAATGGTATAAATAATATCAGTGCACTTGTGAAAGAATATTAGACTCACCAGTTGACGTGTATTGGACGCGTGGCATGATTTGTTTACTTTTGAACTTCGGCAAAAATTGAACATTTGAGCTCAATTTCAAGGTACTTTTCATTGTGAAACCAATCAAAATCATCTCAATTTCTGTAATATGTCATCCATTCTATAAAGTAAGACCAGGAAAACTAGAATACAACCATAAATACTGTACGAAAATACAGTGCAAAGTCGCTGTTTTAAACCAAAAAGTTTTTTTTTTTCTCAGTATGCACTGTGTGCTGCAGGATTTTTTTTATACAGTGCACACTGACCACATAGACCCATTCTTTCATATGTAGGCCTACCATCTTTCTCTCGCTAGATTTGAAGGCGCTAGAATTTAGGCGTCCTAGTACGTCACCCCTGGTGCGTAAGCCGTACTAGTACGTCGGAAACCCTGAAAGGGTTAATGGCAGTGGCATCATCTCCAATCCTATTACCTGTAAGTTAGCATCCGTCCAGTGCATGAGATGTCCCTTAGTGTTTCTGTGTTTTTTTAACAAGTCAGCCATCTCCCACCGAGGCAGGATGACCCAAAAAGAAAGAAAATCCCCAAAAAGAAAATACTTTCGTTATCATTCAACACTTTCACCTCACTCACACATAATCATTGTTTTTGCAGAGGTGCCTAGAATACAACAGTTTAGAAGCATTAACATATAAAGATACACAACATATCCCCCCAAACTGCCAATATCCCAAACCCCTCCTTTAGAGTGCAGGCATTGTACTTCCCATTTCCAGGACTCAAGTCCAGCTATATAAAAATAACCGGTTTCCCTGAATCCCTTCACTAAATATTACCTTGCTCACACTCCAACAGCTCATCAGGTCCCAAATACCATTCGTCTCCATTCACTCCTATCGAACATGCTCACGCACGTTTGCTGGAAGTCCAAGCCCCTCGCCCACAAAACCTCCTTTACCCTCTCCTTCCAACCTTTTCGAGGACGACCCCTACCTCGCCTTCCTTCCCCTACAGATTTATACGCTCTCCATGTCATTCTACTTTGACCCATTCTCTCTAAATGACCAAACCACTTCAACAACCCCTCCTCAGCCCTCTGACTAATACTTTGATTAACTCCACACCTTCTCCTAATTTCCACACTCCGAATTTTCTGCATAATATTTACACCACACATTTCCCTTAGACAAGACATCTCCACTGCCTCCAACCGCCTCCTCGCTGCAGCATTTACAACCCAATCTTCACACCCATATAAGAGTGTTGGTACTACTATACTTTCAAACATTTCTTTCTTTGCCTCCATAGATAACGTTTTTTTGTCTCCACATATACCTCAACGTACCACTCGCCTTTTTTCCCTCATCAATTCTATGATTAACCTCATCCTTCATAAATCCATCTGCCGACACTTCAACTCCCAAATATCTGAAAGCATTCACTTCTTTCATACTCCTCCCCAATTTGATATCCAATTTTTTCTTTATCTAAATCATCTGATACCCTCCTCGCCTTACTCTTTTCTATGTTCACTTTGAACTTTCTACCTTTACACACACTCCCAAACTCGTCCACTAACCTTTGCAATTTTTCTTTAGAATCTCCCATAAGCACAGTATCATCAGCAAAAAGTAACTGTGTCAATTCCCATTTTGTATTTGATTCCCCATAATTTAATCCCACCCCTCTTCCGAACACCCTAGCATTTACTTCTTTTACAACCCCATCTGTAAATATATTAAACCATGGTGACATTACACATCCCTGTCTAAGACCTACTTTTACTGGGAATTAGTCTCCCTCTCTTCTACACACCCTAACCTGAGCCTCACTATCCTCATAAAAACTCTTTACAGCATTTAGTAACTTACCACCTATTCCATATACTTGCAACATCTGCCAAATTGCTTCCCTATCCACTCTCATATGCCTTTTCTAAATCCATAAACACAAACACTGAGCGATATATCATGCATTGGACAGATGCTAAACTGAATATAGTGAACCAGAGTTGAGTCATTGGTGTTGCCAATGCCATTGTTCACAAAGTCAGCAGTTTTAAATAACTTCTTTTATCTTAATTTGTATAATCGTAGAACATGCTTTCCCATCTGATTTCATTGTACCCTCTGCCTCATACACTCCCCCCATCCCCCCACACACTTGCATCTGGCTATTCTTCACTTGTATAAGGTGTCATGCCTCATTGCCCAATATACGATATCACTTCCTTCATTCCTTCATCAACCTTTAACAACTTAAAATATTTCCTCCATCTTCCCAGTACCTCCACCTCCTTATCTGATGTTTTTAACTGTTACATCCATTGTTTCCTTAGGCTTTCTCCTCTCTTTAAAATCACTTCAAAACTGTTTCTTATTCTCAGCAAAATTTTGTAAACCTCAGCCACTCTGTCACTGGCTCTTCTTTTGCATATTATGTATTCTGTAAATGATCAAGCATTAGGTTCGGAGCTTGGCATGACCTTTTAAATGTTGCTGGTCTCTCTATACACACTGATTCATTACTCTTCATTTTTTTTTTTTTTTCAACAAGTCGGCCGTCTCCCACCGAGGCAGGGTGACCCAAAAAAGAAAGAAAATCCCCAAAAAGAAAATACTTTCATCATCATTCAACACTTTCACCACACTCACACATTATCACTGTTTTTGCAGAGGTGCTCAGAATACAACAGTTTAGAAGCATATACATATAAAGATACACAACATATCCCTCCAAACTGCCAATATCTTACAATATCTCTTACATGACACGATTAATTTCTTAAATTTTTGTATATATTTTACTACCAGCAGTTTCAGAATTTATTATGTACATTGATAATTGAGTATTGATCTTGTCCCTTCAGGTTGAACCAGAGGATGAGGATGCACAAATCCTTGGATTAGAGATGGATGAAAATTTTGAACCTAGAGTAGAAGACTTAATGGAGGAAGAGAATGACCACAGAGAGGATCGTAGCACTCAGGATGAAGAATGGGAGCCAGAACTTAAGAGACCCAGGATCAAGAAGGAATCAGTTGATACAGGTATACTGAACTTTTTAATTTTTAGTATTTTTATCTTACATATACAGACTCGTATATGGGTGTGAAGCTTGGGTTGCAAATGCTGCAGCAAGGAGGCAGCTGGAGGCAGTGGAGATATCCTGTCAAAGGGCAATGTGTGGTGTAAATGTTATGCAGAGAATTCTGAGTGTGGAAATTAGGAGGAGGTGTGGAGTTACTAAAAGTATTAGTCAGAGGGCAGAAGAGGGGTTGTTGAGGTGGTTTGGTCATTTAGAGAATGGATCAAAGTAGAATGATATGCAGAGTGTATAAATCTGTAGGGGAAGGAAGGCAGGGTAGAGGCTGTCCTCAAAAAGGTTGGAGGGAGGGGGTAAGGAGGTTTTCAAAACAAAGGAAGAGACAAACAGGGGGAATGGTACAGAGAGGACAGGTGGGCAGTAAATTGGGGCATACCAAACCAGGCATCAGCCCATCAAGGCTGAATAAGCAAACAAACGCGAATCCAGTACTGGAAAAACCAGGGGCGTGTACACCAGGGAACATACCAGGTAGTATACCACCAGTGGTACTAATGAAACACAAAGTGAGACAAAACATCTCATTGGTAATTCCTGCTTCATATTTGCAAATATACAGGGTTTGAAATCAAATAAAAATGACAAAGTTAGTTATGTCAGTGGACTCCTAACAGAAGCGAATGCCATGTTCAGAGCATTTACAGAAACGCATTCAAGGGATGTTTTGGACGGAGAG